TTTACTAATTCCGTTTAACCGTTAGCGGCCGTGAAATCGTGAGGTAAAAACTAGAACTATAAAATATTTCAAGTAGTTTTTGATCCAAAAAATTAATTTATGTAGATTTCTAGCAACGCAAAAAGTTCAAGTAAGAAACTGACAAATATTAAATAATTAAAGATTTTTTAAGCTTTTTTCCCCAAATGATAATACTTGTAAATTTTTAGTCTTCGTGAAGAAATCAAAGTTGGCAAATATGATTTAGGCATATATGAGCCGAATAAATGTAACTGAATTGTCTATATTGTCCTTGGCTAATATCATTTGTCTTGTGTTTATGTTAAATTTAATATATTAATTTTGTGAAACTATGGAAAATTATAAGCTGAAAATAAAATTATCAACGTTGAGCGACAATTTGCCGAATTCAATCTTACTATCGTAAGCAATATAGATTTTCCTCTTTTTTTTGTGGATCCACATTATTATTTAATAAATGTAAATTCGTTTGTTTAAAAGTTAAAACACACATTTTTATATTAAAATATTTATTTTCTGGTTCGATTTTGTATTGATAACCCCCATTATTCAACTGTTGGATTTTCAAATTTATCCATCTCTCAATTTTTGATTTACAAATAAACAGCAAAAATATGTAATGAAAAATTTTCTTTTATCAACAAGCGTCCGAAGAGGAAAAAAATTAGATTCCTCATCCGTAAATAGATTCATTGAAGAAAAATAGATTCACTGAATCAAAAAAATTCCCCAACCAGACAAAAAATATAGAATCCCGCAGTGGATCCCACTTGCGACAATTTGCCGATTTTTACAACTATTACTATTATAGATTTTTATTAGTACATGAAAATACATATTCCGAGAGGATAATCTCTTTTCGCAACAATGGTAAATCAAATCTCAAATTAGAAAGAGTAGATTAGTGCGAATGTGCGACTAATTAAAACTACCAGAAAACACTTATTTATAGATTCATAATGACAATGGATTACGACATCAACGAATAATATAATCAGCTTACTTAATCCAGTAAGCTCCGATTAACAAAAGGGTAATAAAGTAAATTGAGATGCTCAGTTTCGCATCGATTGCTTGATTACACGGGCGAATAAGAACTCGAAGGATAGACTGTGTTTTCTAGAATGAAAAAGTAGAAGAGAAGAGGAAACAATCTCTTTCTCAATCTCCTAATCGTTTTCTGAATTTTCTTCGATTTCGTGTTTACAATTGTATATATACTAAGATCGATTTTGTTCTTCCTGTTCGTGTATACTACTTTCCCTTTTGTAGAACTCTTTACCCCAACTGGGTTTGTGTTTCTCGAATTTCGTGTTTGTTATTCCAGAGATCTGTTTCTAGGGAAAATTCTTCGCTTCCCGGGAAATTAACAAAGGCCGTAAAGTCAATTTCAAATTCTCAGAGTCATAAATTTGTTTATCTTAGGTTTCATTTGATTTCTGAAATCTGAAACTTGCGATTCCGAATCAAAAACCAGAGAGCTTCCATGGTGGTAGCAACGACCATAGCGCTTTACGCGAGTCCACCGGGCACTGTATGCTCCACAACTCACCAGATCAACGCTAATGTCTCCTGCGATCTCGATCTCAATTCCAGATCCTCATCGGCATCTTCTTCCACGGCGTCTCCGACAATCGGAGGTCTCTCTTTGCTTTTCTCCGGCGCATCCGTCAAATCATCGTCTTCCTCCTCATCTCACCCAACCGTAGGAGAGGATTTAGCTTCCATACGCCATGATCGGAGCGAGGATCGGACCTTAAGCGGCTCCTTCAGTTATTCTCCGAGCAAATTCGCCGGCTCCTCATACCTTAAACGAGACCACCAAAGCCCTGTTTCAGTGCTTCACGGTCCAATCTCATCAAGCAGCAGCCCTCCGATGAGAATTTCTCGCGATCGGAACTCGGATGGGAGTTTCCATGGCGTTTCTTCTCTCCGTGTAGGATCTAGCAGATTGTTCAATGGTTTCGTCAGGAAAGCGGTAGGCTCGTGTGTTGATTACGACACAGACTCTGCTCTCGTCGATGAGCAGTTACCATTCACCATGGACGATGGTTTCGAAGGAGAAAGAAGACAGCCATATGCTAGAGATTTGCTTAGACGTGCTCAATTGAAGCACAAAGTCTTCGAGGATGATTCTGTGATCAAAGCATTTTACGAAGCAGAGAAAGCTCATAGGGGACAGGTATGAAGAAGAAGAAGAAGAATATAAATCTCACAAACTTCTCAATAATTTGGTTTACTAATTGATGTGTTTGAATCAGATGAGAGCAAATGGTGATCCTTACCTGCAACATTGTGTTGAAACTGCAATGTTGTTGGCTGATATTGGAGCTAACTCGACCGTTGTGATAGCTGGGATTTTACATGATACTTTAGACGATTCGTTTATGAGCTATGATTATATTCTCAAAAATTTTGGATCAGGAGTTGCTGATCTTGTGGAAGGGGTAAGTACAAAACCGCCATGAATATGATCCTGCTAAAGCTTGTTAGTGTTTGAGATTCTAATTCAGTTTTTATTGCATTAGGTGTCTAAGCTTAGCCAACTTAGTAAACTTGCTCGGGAAAACAATACCGCGTGTAAAACCGTTGAAGCGGATCGTTTGCACACTATGTTTCTTGCAATGGCAGACGCGAGAGCTGTTCTTATAAAGTTAGCTGATCGGTTACATAACATGATGACGCTTTATGCTTTGCCTCCGGTTAAGCAGCAAAGGTTTGCTAAAGAGACTCTGGAGATATTTGCACCTTTGGCTAATCGATTGGGCATCTCTACCTGGAAAGTTAAGCTTGAAAATCTGTGTTTCAAGCATCTTCATCCTGACCAGCACCATGAGATGTCCGCTATGCTTGAGGATTCATTTGATGAAGCTATGATTACTTCCGCGATTGAGAAAATGGAGCAAGCGCTTAAGAAAGAAGGCATTTCTTACCATGTTCTCTCTGGACGACACAAGAGCTTGTATAGTATCTACTGCAAGATGTTGAAGTAAGTAATTTCCTCTTTGTTCGAATGTGCTCGTTTGTTACTTGTTTTCACCTGAGATGATGGAGAGAACCCGGATACTGATTTTATTGACTCTTCATTTCATTTTTTGCCAGGAAAAAGCTAACCATGGATGAGATTCATGACATTCATGGGTTACGTTTGATTGTTGACAATGAGAAGGATTGTTACAAGGCCTTAGGAGTAGTTCACAAGCTATGGTCTGAAGTTCCTGGAAAGCTGAAAGATTACATAACTCATCCCAAGTTCAACGGGTAGGTTCTGCAAACCTGTCATAGCTTCAAATGATGCAGTCTCCTTCCTTGTCTATTTTTTTTCTGACTTCCGTTTCTGGAATTACATATAGGTACCAATCTTTGCATACCGTAGTGATGGGCGATGGAACCATCCCGCTCGAAGTTCAAATACGGACAAAGGAGATGCATTTGCAAGCTGAATTTGGGTTTGCAGCTCACTGGAGATACAAGGAAGGTGACTGCAAACACTCAACATTTGTGCTTCAGATGGTTGAATGGGCAAGATGGGTTGTGACCTGGCATTGCGAAACCATGAGCAAAGACAGATCCCCGATCGTCTCTTCCGAGCCCTTGTGTAGCTTCCCGTCTCACGCTGAAGACTGTCCGTTTTCTTACAAGCCTAATGGCAACCAAGAAGGACCAGTCTATGTCATTGTTATCGAAAACGACAAGGTTGGTCATTATAAATCACCTTCAAAGGATCGGTCTTTCTTTGCTTTTAGAGTTATAATTTGCTAAACCCGAAAATGCAGATGACTGTGCAAGAGTTTCCCGCAAATTCCAGTGTCTCGGACCTTTTGAGCAGAGGAGGACCAGGGAGCTCGAGATGGTCAATGTACAGCATACCGGCAAAGGAAGAGCTAAGGCCAAGGCTAAACCAGACACCTGTAAGTGATCTGAAATGGAAGCTGAGATGGGAGATGTGGTGGAGCTGACTCCAGCCATACCTGACAGTCACTGAGTGAATACAGAAGAAAAAGATTCAGCGATGTATGATCGAGGGCTTGCCCTTTTCGCCGCCCTCACCGTGTTGCAGCTGCTGGCACAATGGTTGGCTGGGGAAAGTTAACAGATTCTTCCATTATCAAAAAAAAAAAAAAAAAACAGATCCTTGTTCACGTATATATAGTTATTATATAGTATAATGCTTCAGAAAGATTTGTTGTACCTTCTATGGTCTTGTTGATTCCAAGAAAACGTTGTATATATAATATGCACATATAGGCTGTGAAAACTAACTCTGGTCATTAATATTTGCTTCTCTTACATTTTCTAGAAGTACCTAAAGCAATAACATTTTGTTTGTGAATATGTCAGAGGATGTTCGGCCTAACAAGGGGTCCATACTTGGGAGTCTCCTCATGGATATTATCTTGAAGTCCCCGTGATGGATTTTGCATAAATGGTGTTTTGTACTACGTAGCTTACTTTCAAATTGTGATATGATAGTTTGCTTTGACTTTAGGTCTGAGAAGTTCAGCTTTTATTGAGATCGATGGAGAAATGTTAGATGAAAAACTGCTCAACTACAAAGGTAAATCATGTGCACATCGGGTTTAGAGGTCCGAAGCAAGACGAACTTGAGTTGTGGGTTCTAGAAGATGCTGGAAAACATAAATGGTCCAAGAGTATATGCGTACTGTCTAGTTTATGCTACAAGATAAGGAGGAAGTTGTACATTGTTGGGTGGAAGTGATATTGTGTTTACGCCCTACGGTTATACGTCGTTCGATCAGTCAAACCCTTTCTACCTTGTCTTCTACAATATGGAGACGAACACTTTTGCAAGAATTGATTTTCATGGATTTGAAGAGTTTAAGCATCATAGTATTCATATTAGCACCTTTCTCGATTATGTAGAGAATATGGCACTTATCTTAGGAACAAGTAGCATTCATTTTTACAAAACCAACTTAACGTGTCTAAGTGCTGTTAACGCTGAGAGACATATTTCGTCCAGTATGAAATAAATTAAGAGATTTACCTTTACACACATGGGCTATAAAAACCGACTCTGGTCACTAATACTTGGTTTCTCTTACATTCTACTTCTTGATACATAGCATTTATAGATTTTTTATTTATTTTAGGCTGTGTCTCTGCCTATTTGGGTCGTCTAGAGAGAGGGAAAGAGACTCTTTGAGGAGTTTGGCTCGGAAGCTCTGATGTTTGTTGTTGCTGCGGTTGTTCCTGAGATGACTGTGCAGGATCTGTCATTTCTTCATCGTCCTCTGTTTCCTCAGGCTCTGTTGAAGCTGTCTTCTTTGGAATCACGAGCTGGTAGTTTGGGCTCAGCAATGTGTCCTGCTCAGGCGGGAGAGGAACACCCGGTCCTGCAATGGACTTTGGCAAAGGGATCTTGTTCCTGCTCGCAGCAAGTTCTAGCAGTACCTACAAGAAAACATCAAAAAAACAGAAACTTCGAGATTCAGAAACTAAGATTCAGATTTGGCAGTCTTACTATTCACGTTGAAAACATTTGACATGATTGCATACAAAACAATCATGCTCTTGAATGCAGCTTATGTAGCAAAGGCGTTATTGTTCACAAGTCAAAATCAAGATGGACAGCTAACTTCCTACTAGGTCAAATCATTCACAATCGATTACCAAAGATTAGTCATAATCACATCTATTTTAAGGCAACACTCTCAATAACATGAAACAAAACAAAAATGCATATAGAGTGTATATACCTCTCGTGGAGGTGGCTGTGAGAAGCTGAAATTAACTTTGGATTGAATAGCGAGCTTCACATCGTCACAGTCAATGGTAGATTTGCTAGCATGCTCTGAGTAAACCTGAGCATCAGTCAACACTTCGACCACATACCTGTACCATAATTCCAGAAACTGGTGCATCACACGTGGCTCGTAGTCCTCCACACCCATCGACTTAAGCAGAGATTTCACAATCTTGGCATCTCTAGGTAGATCTTCTTCACCTTCTCCAGCCATGTTTTTCACTAAACAAATAGTGGAAAGACAAACAAATAAGAACCTTTTCATTACAAAGATTTGAGATGTTGCAAAAGCACAAGCTCTATTCGAATATCACAAGCAAAATACATCGTGAAACAGTTACAAGATAACTAAATTAGAACATAGTTGCTTCAAATTCAATACCTAAGGCTAAAGCCCCAATAGATCATCGCACAAACTGCTACTACTTAAGGAAATTTCTGCATTCTACAAGACACTGAGAAAACATTTGAAGCTTATATATAAAAAAATACAAAGATTAGAGCTTCGCAAATCCGAGAAAACGAAGACGGAGACAAGAGAGGCAAAATAAGATTTTTATGCCCTAGATCGAACAAATATCAGAACCATCTTTGAGTAGCGAGGCGTTAAATACCTAACACGAGATAGAGTCGAAGAGAGCTGCAGAACAAAACACGACGGAGATTAATGAACGGCGGCGAGTTTTGGTTTATTCTTCGACGGGAGAGAGATAGATCTAATCAGCTCTAACGTTGAGGGTAAAACTGTAATTTAACTCGCTTCACCAAATGGTGGACCGAATGGGTAAATTAGTCTTTTGAATTGCGCTCGTACATGAGCCCATTAAAGACCCAAATGATAGTGACCGTCCGATGTAAATCTTGCTCTAAAATGCCGAAACTAATCCTGTCTTTTTTTTTTCTCTCCAGAATCATCTTATTTTTCACTTGAAAATGGCCCAGTTCTAATATTTGGCCCATTAAAGACCCAAATTAGTATAACATGATTATATCTTTTAAATACCGATAATAGCCTCATCTCTCTCTCTCTCTCATGTCTCCTTGACTTGTCCGTCACTGCGTTGGATAGGAAATTACCGTAAATGTCCTCACCGGATCGTGCCATCTTCAACCTCTTGACCGACATCGCTTTATCCTTTGACGGAGCCTTCCTCGGAGTAACCCTAGCTTATGGCGCCATTCGCTCTGCTTTCAAGTATGCCTCTAGCTCCGCCGCGTTGAGTAAGATCAAAGACGCCCCGGAAGTCTCCGTTTCCGACCGCCGATCACTGATTCCGGCGTCTGAAGACCAATCTGAGAATCGAGATCACGGGAATAGCCATGATCAGCGTATCGTTGTGGTTCGCGGAACCGTCAGACCTAAGTTTACCGGTGATGGGAGTCACAAGGACAACGTGCTTATCTCTCAGGAGACTGGCGATAAAGCTCTTATTATTCAGAGAACTCAGACTGTACGTATACATACATTACATATTTACCTATAATTTCACTTACATATAACATGGTGCTTACGAATTGCAATTGGCCTAATTTTGCATTATGTTGCTCTAAAAGTGCTTGACTTTTAAAAAACTGGTTGAATTGTAATATGATTACTTGTTGTTTTTCTTCAAGATTGCTCTCCGATTTCTCGAAGCTTATGTGTTTTTGGTGCTGTTGTGATTGTATATGTAGTAGTAGTTGATGCTGCTTAGAAGAGAGACTGTATAACGAATTGTATATTTTCTGGTGGGGATTTCTCAAAGTGGAAGTTTTTCTAATGTTATCTGTTTTTTTTTTCATTTCGATCTCTTACAGTATACGTATAGTGGATGGAAGACTTTGTTTCAGTTGTCAAATACTCACCGGTTTCTTTTTGAAAGATCTATGATGCCTAAACAAGAAACTGCGTTAACGAGAATGGTAAAGTCTTCTTCTTCCACTCTTATCAGCTCTGGCACTATCTTTGATCCAACTAGCTTTGATATATATATAAATTTATATGTGTTGCTCTCCGTGTGCAGGTCCCGTTTGTTATTGTGGAAAAAAATCAACGATCGCAGTCTAGTTTTCTACTTGTTAACATGGATGGCGCAAGGCAACCTCTTCCTCTTACCACTGTGTATAATCGCTTGCAGCCTATTAATTCAACTCCCTTTGCCTTTCTTCAAGTCTTGTTCTTCCCTGAGTATCCTGTGAGTGTGTATCCGACTAAATTTCTGGTTTTGAGGACAGATGGTTACTTGTTCTTTTCTAACTTTGTGATCTTTTCTCTTCCAAGGTTGGCCTGCTTGATGTAGAGAATATCTTACCACCTGGGAGAGATTTAACAGCAGTTGGCGTCTGTAGTCTCAATAATGGAGTTCCTGAAATCAAGTCGTGCCAAGATCTTCCCTTTTTCTTGTGAGATTCTCTCTGAAGTATCTTATTTTTCTCGTCATTATTAAGCTTATCTACCTTCCTCTCTTTTTTTCTCTTACTGTTCATCTATAATAAATATTTTTGAACAATCTTTGCAGGTCAGAGATGACTAAGGACAAGATGATACTGGACCTTATGCACACTACCAGAGTAACATTCTGGGCCGGTGTTGTCATGGGCTGTTTGTCTGCTGGCATCCTTGGCTTAGTTGCTGTCAGGTGCTCGAGTAGTGAGAGACAGATAGTTTAGGGTTTAGACAATGTTTTGATACTAAATCTGTTTACTGTCTTATCTTCAGGACATGGAAGAGATGGAAACTACGGTATCATCAAAGAGAGCCGCTGCAGAGACCAGACGAACCCGTGGTCGATGACGAGACAGAAGATGCAGATGAGATTCCAGATGGACAATTGTGTGTGATCTGCGTGACAAGAAGGAGGATCCCTGCATTTATTCCCTGTGGACATGTAGTATGTTGCAGACAGTGTGCCTTAACCGTGGAACGAGCGTTAAACCCCAAGTGTCCGGTTTGCCTCCAGAGCATTAGAGGATCTATGCGTGTATATTACTCTTGATGAATCCTAATCTTCTCTCATTTTGTGTATTTGATAGGGTAATGCTTATTTTGTAATGTAAGAGAATTGGTAATGTAATATAACAAAATAGTTTGACAATGAATTGAAAGTTTTTGATATTGCAGAGGATAATATCCAAGTTTTGAAGGCAGAAACTTTGTAAAGAAGCAATAACAATTTGTAGCCAAGGATGACTTCCCGTTTCGCCGGAGTTTAGCAGAATTCCTCTCAGATGTCTCTAAGTACCTGACATGAGAGCTGAGACATGGTGCGTTGATGGATACCCTGAGAATCTGAACTGTGGGTTTTGGAACATGTTGCGGTTTGAATTGGAGCTCGGTGTGATCGAGCTAGAACCAATTGCGCTTCCACCACCGCGAGGGCTCTTTGAGAAATCCTGTCCATTTGCCATTTGAGAAGAACAAAGAGAGTTTGATGATTCTTGAAGCTTCTTTGTATTGAGGAAACGCCCACCAGAGCCTCTAGCTCTCTTTAAAGCATGAAGATGGCGAGACTCATGAAGGTAAGGCTACAGAAAAATAGGAAAAACACAGAATTTTGTTACTCACATGACTCCCAAAAGTACATCTTTTTTGGTGTTTTGAGAAAATGGGAGAGTGAAAAGATTCATACTTTACGGCTTTTGATGAGTTTGTTCTGAGCTTCGAGTTTAGCACGATGCTTCCTGCGACGAAGAATCGCATGGTACTGTTTCGCATTGACGAATATTGGTTCATTCTCTTGAATGTTATGAGGCAATGCCACTCTTGAAGAAACCAAACCCATCATCTCTAAATGTGGCAGAACCTGCAAACCAAAAAAAAACTCCCAATTTAACTAAACCAAAGCCTCTTCGATTCCAAATATGTGAAAGCACAAGGCTTTACAGTATATACTACCGTTGGTTGAGATGCATATCCAGGAGCCAAGAAACCACCGAAATGTGATGTTTCAGCACATTGAAGAGACCAAGATGGTAGACCAGAAGTAGGTGGAGGATGAAACACAGAATCTTGAGACACCATCGACGAGGTGGTAGTTGATTGAGTATAGCTTTCAATAGTCTTTCCATGATTTTCAATGTAACCTACATCAATCAAAACAACAAGAAAACTCAACAACAACAAAAAAATTAGCGGTTTTTTTTTTTTTGTTAATGTGACTAAATCTTCAAAATCAGTAACCTGGAAGATTAGTGTTGACAATGCTGCTGGATCCATAACGGTTATGTTCTCCAAAGCTTGCAACTTCACCACCTCCAGATTCTCCGGTAGATTGCGTTGAGGATGAATCTTGATCTTGCAGCTGCAAACCCAAATGTTTCATCGAGGGGAATTGTGTAGACATCATCATATCCCTTGTCACGTTGAAAGATTGAGATCCTTGAATGTTTGAATTTGTTGGCATTGAGTTTCCCCAAGAAGACCGCGATGAATCTTTCCTTTCAAACACTTGCATTGTCTTCTTAATAAGCTAATAACCAAGCCTATGAGATAAATGAATCCACAAATTTTGGTATTACATCAAAACCATGATCCACATAAAAATCAGCAAATCTAAGAGATAAATGAATCCATAACATCCAAAAATCCAGATTCCCTGTTCGATTACATGATCAATGAAATTGAAAGATTCAAACTTAAAAAAAAAAAAACAATTTTGGTCAAACAGATTGATTCACTGAAAGTTACATAGAAGGCATAACATGCAAATCGATTAATATGCAAAAAGCTTTACACAGAGAGTGAAAAGAGAAACTATACTGACAGATTACTAACTCAAATTTCTGGGTATGAATAGAAACAATCAGCTCATCTTCACGCGAACCGAGTATAAATCAAATCTCTTTGACCTTACTGATCCAACCAAACAGAGAGAAAAGTGGGACACTGAGAAAGCAAACAGATTTTCTCCCTCATCACTTTAAAAAATGTTTTTTTTTTTCTAATTCGATCATCAGAATCAGAAGTAAAAATAGAGCAACCAAATCATTACCACACTACCAAAGAAATTAAGCGAACAAAAGAGAGAGAGAGACCTTAGGTGTTTAGATTTGGTAAAAGATGGAGAGAAAGAGAAGTTAAGTAATAAGCTTGAGATGATGATGATGATGCATGTCTCCTTCCTCAAAACATGGCTGTTTCCTCTCTCTCTCTCTTCCTCTGTCTCTGCAATTAGTGTATTATTGGCTATGGCTTAAAAGACTAAACCTGACTCTTTTCACTTTTTTCTTTATGTTTTTTTTTCTCCACGAATACCATTTTATAGGCACCAAACTTTTGGACAAAAAAAAAGAGACACAAAAAACCTTAGCTATATATTAATTTGTTGTTTCCATTTCTAAATTTCTGCAAACTTTAACATGTATTTATTTCCTTCTATTTATATTATTTATGATTTCAAAATTTTAATGCAATTAATTTAAACATGTCATATAACAATTTTTTTACTGAATCAATATGTATATAATGTCTATAAAGAAAATTAAAGAAATTTATAGGTAATAATAAAAAAAAATCTAAAAAAATCTAGATAGAACAATCGATATACAACGCGTGTATAGTTTTAGATAAGATTAAAATATATATAAAATTTATAAGTGATAATACAATAAGTATAATATTATAGAAAAATATAATAAAAATATCATATATAGAAATATCAATATATAGTGATATTTTTATCTATAAATTTAGATTATATATAGATATATCGATATATGATGCGACATATATATTATGTTTATAAAGAAAATTAAAAATAAAGATAATAATAAAAAAATCTAAAAAATATAGACAGAACAATTGATATACGACGCGTGTATAGTTTTAGATAAGATTAAGATATATATAAAATTTATAAGTGATAGTGTAATGAATATAAGATTATGGAAAAATATAATAAAAATATAAAAGGAAAAATTATAGGTATTAATAGAAAAAATCCAATAAATATAGATAAAAATATCGATATATGATGCGTGTATAATTTTACATCAAAATTAAATATATATGAAATTTCTAAGTGGTAGTACAAATAAATATAATATTAGAGATAAAAAGATGATAAGAAATTAAAGGAAAATAAAAAGTTTTGAAAAACTAAAATGAAACCATTTTCCGTTGTTCACTTCACTTATATTCTAGGTCTATTTGTAAAATGTAACTAATTGTACTTCACTAGAAAATAATGACATATGTTAGTAAAAATATATTTAAAAATCAAAACTATGATGTCTAAATTAAATATAGAAAAATATATAGTATATCATCAACTACATTTCATTTCATTTCACATAGCAAGAACTACCTGGTTTGATTTATGTACTAGCTAGCTTTGTGGATCAAAATTCCTCCCTATCACTAAAACTAATGGATTATGGTTTACAATTTTACCTTTTTTCATATTCAGATTCAGGCAATAGGTAAAGGAAACCATCGCTTTGGAGTTGAGATCCGTGTGTACCCAAAATTTGAAGCTGTTCTCTTTTTTTTTTTTAACATATTAATAATTAAAAACATATAAAAAGGGACCTTTTTTTTAGTGTATGATATCGAAAACTTTGGACCAGCCATATGTTCATATTAGTCGTTTTTTTGTTTGTTAACCTGTATGTTTCATTAAAATGGCTCACATTAGTAATGTTTTGTTGTTTTGTGTGTACAATTAGTTATACTTCTGGAAACATCCCTATCTATAGTACAAGTTACAAAGTTTTTTAATTTTAATTATGGAGGATATTTTAAGTGTCATACGTTGTTTCATCATAAACGCAGACAATTCTTAAACATCACTTGTAGTGAAACACTTATAGATAGTGTATATACGTAATTTTTCTTCTCTTTTTTTTTTTTCTTTTCTTTATTGTAAGAACGCTTGTTTTTAAAAGCAAAAGTATAAGTGGAAGGTTGTCAACATCTCTTTATGGTGCAATCAATATTGCATTTAAGCGAATAATTTTAAATATTTTAATGTTGTAGTTGGGGTAATTGAAATTTATTGCAAGTCAAGCAAAGCAAAGAGCCCTTTTTCAGTGTTCTTTTCACATTTCTTGATGCAGCTTCCCCAACACAAGCAACGAATCGTAATTTGGTAGTTTCTGCTTCCATCTCCCTACATTTAATCCACAACTCTGAATAGTAGTAATTACAACAACAACAAATACATAGTAAAATATGAGGAAAAGAAATAACTTTTTTTGTAGGAACATGTCTATTTTTGAGATGAATATTCTAGTTGAATAACATGTCAAATAACATTTCAACTAATTGGAGAGATGGTTCCATAAAGTGAGAAAAGAAATGGGTAACTATCATGCTTCCCAAGAGGTGACAGGTGTTAACTTATAGTAGTATTATATAATGTCATCGAGGGAATCTAGAAGTTCTTAGTATCAATTATTTGATTTAGCCAAGTTTTTGACCTTTTAAATAATAGTTAACATGCTCAAATCTCCCCTAACATGGATTCTTAGTTCTGAACTCACACACAAGACGATTAATATAATGTTTTATACGAACATACTAATAATGTAAGACAAAAAAGTTTAAACCCGTTATCCTAATAATTCCAAATTTAAACATTACGCATTCCAACTCAATCATCGATTCGAACACACTACTTCATTGCCTACCAAATCTTACCACGTATATGGAAGATTGAACAACAATCGTTACTTTGGAAAAGTTAAAGATATATATTCATATATAAAGCCAAAACAAACATGTTTGCCTACCTAATTTTTTTTTTAATATATAAAAAGACTCGAACAAGAATGTCATACATCTAAAGATTAACGTTGATGTTTAAATAGAGACGCGAGTGTATAAAGAAGTGAGATCAGCACGAATCTAATTGTAAATCTTACCTAAACAAACTAAATCAAACATCAAATGTGTTCAATTATCTCCCATGGACCATCAAACACTTTTATCAATTAAAAAAAAAATTAAAAAAATTAAAAGATTCGGTGCTGGAAATAAAATAAAGTTAACCCATTCCATCAGAAGATCATTCGAAATCTTGTGCCACCATTCATGGTTTTGGTCAAAAGCTAATAAGAGCCTCTTCCTTTAAATGGCATCTCCTGCAATAAAAAAACAAAGATGTCAGCGAAATCTTTGTCAACTCTTTTCAGCAATTGTGAAAAGAAAAAAAAACACAGAAGTAACAAATTATGGAGGTTAATAGTAAACCGGTTGGTACGGCGATGGCGGCATGAACAAAACCGGCCTCTGCTGACCAACCATCATCTGCTGTGGGTACTGTTAAAAATTGATTCCAAGATTCAGTTTTCAAGATTCGTCTTCCAATAAAGAATTTCGAGTCATGGCTCTAATAGCAACAAACCTGTGGACCATTTGGAGAATAATATGTTTGATTTGGACCAAGCTGTGCTGTATAATACATCATCGGTTCTTGTCCAGGAAATGCTGCTCCCTTTTTTTTTGTGAATCAGAAAACATAATAACATAGACTTTAGCTCGATTTAGCGGTTTACTATTTGAGTAGATTAAAGGATAGAGAAAGTTACTCCGTATCTAATGTGTAGTCCAGGCATCGGTGGCATGGGAGGGTAATAAAATGATCCCTCCGAAACTGGAGATTGAGGCCGTGTAGCGGTTGGAGATGGTTTGAAACTCTTTGCGTTGGGGTTAAGCTTAAATTCCTGAACCAGACCTAAAGCTCATTAATAAAAGCTTAAAGAGTAACACCCCACTCTACTTGTATTGGATAATAATCTAAGCACAGTAAACAAAACCTTAGCATTTGGGTTGAGTGAGGACTTTTCTGAAGAATAAGAACCAATTGAAGAGCTTGGTGATAGAATTGGACGACTTGATGCTGAGGAAGTTGCAGAATTTTCTGAATTTTTAGAAATCGAGCTTCCAGGCAACCAACAAGAGCTCTCAGATTTCGCTCTGTCAGAAAGTCGACCGACTAGTTTTCCATCAGTGGAGCTTTGCCTTTCAGAAGCTCTCCATTGTAGACAAGCCGGATCAGAGGTTGCTGCACCTTCATTAATATCTTGAGTGCCATTCAAAGACTCAGTTGGAAATTCCATGGGTATAAGATGTAATGGGAGTAGATAGATATGAAAAAGCTAAAGTGAAGTTGCACATACCTTCAAGACCAGACACTGATTCCTCGGACGGCTGCGGTAATACAAATGGAAGCCAACAGAGCAATGTTATATGTCATGGAACATTAAGAAATGCTAAATGCAACCAAGATTAGATGTGACGAACGAGTATAACTTAATTACCTTTTTATAATGGGAAGCCTCTAGACTTTTGCTATTTCTCTGCTCACGAAACTGGCTCTCATTTCTATTAGGATTAGCTATTAGAATGTTATAAATCAAAAGAAAAAAAATTGTAAACTAACGTGCATATTCCAAGGGAAAAAAAGAACCTGATATTGCTGCCTGGAGCAGGAATATCTTTGGATGGCTGTTCGAACATAGGCTGCCAAGCATGCTTATTTGAGTTCGAGCAGCTCTGATCAATAATAGTGATATTCCGTGAAGGTAGACTGTCACCCTGAAGGACGAAAAAATGGAAAAATCACCAATTATTATCCTAGAAACAACTACCCGAGAAGAACTCAACCATACCCATGATTCTTCATAGACCTTGCCGGTTACAGTAGATTTCATGCCATCAGAAGCAGATGAATCACCAAAAGTCAAATTGTTGCAGCAATCCAACAAAATTTCTTCTTCATCTTCATAACCCGCATCATCAAATCCATTAACCGGGCAGACCGATGAGTATTTGGTTTCCTCGTCAATATCAAACTTTCCACTAAGCTGAAGCCCTCTTTCCTGTGTGAGATGATTTCATGCATGAACCATTAAAAATTAGAAATGGTATGACTATGAAACGAAAATAATCACATGGCACATAAGACATTCATTAAGTTTACCTCTGCTACGTGAAGATCTCGGGTATTCTCGCCCTCAATCTCTCTCGCAATCCTCAAGGCTTGCTCTTCTAGCTCCCTCGTCCGAGGACCTCTCTCAAGTTTTGTAGTATACAGCTCCTCATCAAAAGTGCTCGTTACTCCAAACAATGTCTCATTGACCTCAAACTGATTCCATCCCCTATGATATCATCACGTATAAGACATGTTATGAAGGTATTATTCAGCCCAGAAGAGTGTGCATATAGAGAGAAAAGGACAAGCAGGTAATTCAAGTAAGGGTCTCCCCTTGCTTAACCATCCAAATCACTTTCTAGCTTGAATGAGTCTTACAACCCAGATTTCATCTCTATATGATAAAACGTGAAAGCAAACACCCAAGGAAAAGGAGACAGAGAAAATAGAAACACCAAACAGTTTTCTAAATCGGCAAATAGAAATCCTAATTGAAAGGGAAAATACCCTAACTAAAAGAATAAGTATCACTACCTCTTCCAAGGGTCATCAAACACATTCTCCAGCTCTGGACAATCTGGAACATCTTCGTCAGGTACCCAACGTTTCAGCTCTCTCTCCAAATCAACATGATAAGACTGAGATATAGAAGAGTCTGTCAACAGCTCCAACGGTTTCTCCGACTGAACTGAATTTGAACCGTTATTGCTGTATACAGGAAGGTCCTAGCACCAAAGCCAAAAGCCAATGACAGAGAAATAATAATGTCACACCCCAAGTAGTCTTTCTAAGTTGCTAACACACTGACATGAGCATAAAAACTCAAGAAAATAGTATACACCTTAGTTATAACTTGCACAAGTTCGTCGGCAGGGATGATGAATGTCTTTGAAGGTGGCTTGCTGACAAGCGGAGAACGCGGTGTCATTCCTCGTAAACCACCTTCCCTAATCAAGCATGCCATTTTCAAAATAATTCCTGAAATTTTCAAAGCAGATAGTAAATGAAAAACAGAAAAAAAAAGAGTCACTTCTTCTTACATTACATATATCACATATCAAAGGAAAAAAAGGTTCCCATTCAGAGACTCACCAAAATTGTTCTTCACATCAGTAGAATGAAATATGCCACTGTAAACCGATCCATTTTTTAGATGAACTTCTACATGATGTCCGATTTTACAAGTTGTGAGATAAACAAACAGATCACGATAAGGGCTGTCCACACTTCCAGCTTCCCTCCCATTTTCTGCAAGATATTGATGCTAAATCAGAATATAGATATACATGTATATATATATATATTTAAATATAAATATATATACAGAACCTGTATTTTTCAAGGAGTGTGATTTTATCGGCTGTGCTTTATACATCCCTGCTTCTTTTTCAACTCTTCTGTGTGGGAAGCCATTGGATGAAGGCTGGCTATTCATCATTGCCTTAACCTGTTCAAACTGCAAGTTGAAGTGAGAAAAGAGATTAATATATGGACAAACTAACTACTCAATACGATAATTAGGATAACTGTACAAAATCACTTTAAGTTTATGTTATATTTGCCAGGTCTCATAGAACGATAAGCCTGATAGGCATAACTCGCCTCCAATTCGCGCATTCTTGCTGACATTAAAACTCCGTTTCAATTTCTAAATGAAAATATAACAGTTTAAATTTCTGAATAGAAGTCCTGATCGACTAAAGTGAAAAGTATATTACTAGGGGTTAATCAAATAAAACGTATCTCCCTCTTTCCTCCACTATACAGAGGACTAGAGATGTAATGCGAATGTTATGCAAGTTCCGCAAGAAATGATGCAAAGATTATATAACTGAACTACAGAGATGAAACCATAGAGTAACTCCGATTGTGAGCCATGGGAAAAACAAACAAACTTGTAATTTGCAAGCCAATGTTTAAGCATAGATTTCTAGATTGTAGGCATGTAAGTAAAACAAAATCTGGAAGACTGGTCTTCTATTCTCTAACCAAGCAGATTAAAGGTTACAATGAACGGGGAATCAATGGGGGGATCATCTCACGAGAATCTAATTCAATGTTACGAGAACATAAACTTGCGCAGGCTTCATACATCAAATAACGAAATGTACACACACCTCTACGGAACAAACAACATGAAAAAGGAGGACAAAACCAAAAGTCCTAAACACATTAAAGCAGAAGAAAAAATAAAGACAATATTTGCAACCCATAGCTGAAATGTCCAATATATACGAATTTGTACTAGAAAATGCACCAAAAGAAACCCTAAATTAGCCAAACTAAATCACCGAATTCTCAAAATTTGCCATGAATTTCTCAGGAAAGTAAAACTAAAAGCAACAAACAAAAAAAATCAGAATTTGATGATAGAAACCTG